GACTCAGAGGAGATGGCTGGCTCTGGGGTGATGTGAGCATCTGGAGTCATCAAGAATTCCTGATGGACAGGGAGGTCCAACCACATCCTAGCGAGTTGGAAGGGCTGAGGTTAGAGGAAGGGAGACAGCAGAGAGCTCTTGAAAAAGAACCAGAGGCAAAGGGGTAAGAATTTATTACCAACACACCCTTGTAGAGCTGGGTGGCAGAGGAACTACAAACTGGGGGCAGACATGAAGATGTATGGTTCGGGAAAGCTCAAGAGAAGAGAGAGCTGAATGTGTGGGGACATCCTGGGGCACTGAGTGGGCTGGCAGAGGACTGCTCTGAAATGTTAATGAGGGCCTGGATCTGGGAGCCTGGGGACAGGGTGAGGGGTGGCAGGGGGCCTCTGAAGAACTGGTGGGCAGCTACGCTGGGATTGAGAGGAGCTCCTCAGGAAGTTCACACACACACACACACACACACACACACACACACACACCAAGCGCCACCTACAAGTCAGGGTTCAGATGGGAACTTGGGACCCTTTTCTGGGAAACAAAAGTAGAGAACAGAGAATCCCAGATTCCTGCAGCTTGCCAGGTAGGGCAGGAGCTAGCAGGTTGGGTGCCATAGGCCTGTCTGGCAGGGGGAGAATGGAGGAGGACAGTCAGTCCCTCTCACTGACACATGCAGCCTGCATACCTACACACAGGTGATGACACACTCCTGGCTGCACACATACAACCCTGCTGCCCCACATAACGGCAATGATATATGTACCGGCCCATTGTGACACCATCTGCGCACTTACCCCCTGGGGGCACCATTTCATACTAACGGTAACATCCTATATCACCTGCGTCATCTCTTGTTGTCAGAAACAGTAGACATACACCATGACATGGTGTCATGTTCCCAGAGTCTTTGCGTCTGGTATGGTCGATGTAAATGCCACCCTCTGTGGTTGTACACCGCACAGCATGCACACTATATGGGGTACCCTTGCCTCACACAAAAACCATCGCACAACGCCACTGGCATATTCCACTGTAACAATGACCCGCTTGGCTGCATGCTACCACAGACAACACACTTCCAGCAGAGTCACTTCCCATCAGAGGGACATGCCACCACCACTCGCTGAGTCACAGGGTGCAGGCCCACACCTGCCCTGCTCGCACCTACTGCCCCCTCCCATGGTCCCATCACTCCCTGCATGGTCCCACCCTGGTGGGCACAAACACATGTACACCACTGCCTCCATGCTGTGAGAATGACTGGGACCCTAAGCACATACCCTGACAGTGATGGCTCCCTGGCCATTATCAGTGACAAGATGTGTGTGTGGGGGGGGGGGGGGTCCCACTCATCAGATGAGCCAGGTGGCCTAGGGCTCTTCCCTGTGCACCACCCCCACAGCTCTGTTTCTGTCTGGGGCACATGGCCACCCAACCAAACCAAGAGCAATCCTGCCCTTTCAGGCTCACGCTAGCATAGCAGGATGTGGGGTTGGCACTGGGAGCTGTCAGCTGTCTCCCTGCACCCACCAGCAGAGGTGGGCCCAGCCAGCAGGCTCTGGGTCAGGGCTGGCAGCCAGCGCTTCCTAGACGCCTCCTGGCCTTCTGCGTGGCACCCAGAGGGCCCTTTGGACGGAAGCAGTTGCAGGAGGACACCGGCCGACCTCTGGCCGCGCGCCATCCTCGCTGATCACTGCATTCGCGGTCTGTGGCAGTTGTCGTTCGTCACACGCTGTTCCTCGATCCCCACACAGAGAACTGACATTAGCTCTCTTGATTGGCTGCCTACTGAACATTCAAGGCAGGCACGTATCGTTTTAAAAATCTGTTCAAATCTGGCCCCCTGCCCCGGCCCGGAGAGCTCATAAATAAAAGAAGAAATTCAGCAGCAGCAGCAGCAGCAGCAGCAGCAGCCAGGGTAAGCCACCTTAAGCGGAGCCATATCCATATTTTACCAGGTGACTCTCAGAAGCTGTCAGAGAGCAGGCTCTGCAAGGACCGGAGGCCAGGGTGGGGGAGGTGACGGGCAGCTGGCTGGATGAAAGATGCAGGAGGCTGAAGAAAATGCTGACAACCCACATGACATGAGGACCCTGATCTGGGTGTGAATTCTTTTTTTTTTTCTTTTAGTGAGAAACTGGCGATAGGAGAGACTGTAAATGTCAATGTAGAAAAATATCTGCGGAGCAAAAGTTACATTTCCATAGGCTGTGGGATGTGTCAGGAGAGAAGCAGCCCCATGTGGCAGAAGGACCCCAGCGTGCAGTGACAGGCGGGCCCGGGCTGGCATCCCAGCTCTGCCCGAGACTCACTGTATTACCCTGGGCCTCGTCTTCCCCATCTGGAAAATGGGGGTTTGTGTGAACTAAAGGAGAGATGTGATTTAGGCAAAGCACCACAGTGAGCTCCTGAGGTGTATGGGAGGCCCAGTTGATCGCTCTGATTGGTAGTATTATAATCATGAGGAGCTGCTTATAATATTTAGCAACTTCCCTGCAGTGATGACGGTGCATCTGGGAACCATGTCCAAACCAGTAACACTGAACACGGAGCAAGGAAGCATCCCTCCACCATCTTTCCTTGACAGGAAGCACCAGCAGCGAACGTGTCATGATCTCCCCCTGATCATTCAATAGGGATGAAGCCACCAAAACCTGACTGGCTGTCCTTTTATTCATCAGTAAGATGTTCTGCAGCTAGATATGATTCATGTCGGCTCATGCAGTTTTAATGGACTCACAGAAGCCTGGGTTCAAAGGGGGGTTTAGCTGTCACCAGTCACCCAACGGCCACCGCCCAGGGCTGGGGAACTGGCCACCTCACACGATGGCTGGACGGTTACAATCAGTGGCCCGTCTTCCTCTTGGGCTTAGAGCGTCTGTCTGCTCCCTTTACCTTTCCCCCATTGCCCTAATTCTGTCTTCAGCGCCAGCACAAACAATAGTACTCCTCTTCCTTTTCAATGGTCATTTGTTCATCCAACAAGCATATCCTTAGCACCTACTTGGCCAGGTACCATTAGTGCTGGGATTACAAACTGAGCAAGACCTGCCAGCCCGCCTGGGAGGGCTCATTCCCGGCCCCTTTAGTACTCTCTCCTTCAGGGGAGACATCCTCAGATCGTCCAGCCTTCCCTCATTTGACCTGCCCAGATGCCCACACCGAACTACCCCCTTCTCTTCTAAACAGCCTTGATCTTATCAAATTCCGTCTTAAATCGTGGCGCCCAGAACTGAGCTCCATATTTTTCTGAAAGTTAAGTTGGGTTTTTTAGCCCAGCTTGGTCCACATCCATGTCAAAGGCAATGTCTGTTGTGGAAAAACCCCAATTGTAACTACGGGCTCCCAGCCAGATCCCATTCCAGGAGAACAGAGAGAAAGAAGGAAGGAGGGGGGACTGAGGCTCCTGAGATGGCAGGGTGCCAGATCTCCCTGCCCAGACTCCCCTCAGGCACCAGTGCCAAATCTAAGTCGTTCTAACCAAACCCTCTCCCCTCCGCCCCCCTCCATTAGCGCCTGCCACAGGAGAGGGAAGAAAAATCAAGAGTGAGTTTGCCAATGTCCCAACATGGTGCTAAACAGGGCACTCGGACCTAACGGAAGGGCCTTCCCTATGGCAGCTCACATCCTGTAAGGGGAGAACAGAGATGAGCCTCAGAAGAGGCCCCGCAGGTGAGGAAGGGGGTGTACCAATGGCCTCTGACTTGTGGGGAACGGGGTCCCTACTTTGAGGCCTCTGCCGTGAGCATGTGCAGAGGGACAGTCCTCGCTCTCTGGGACAGAAGCACGCCTCCTTCCTCCCCCAGGCCCCATCCTCTGCAGCTCTCGCCGCTCCTTCTTGGAAGGAAGCCATCCCCTCACAGAAGCAGGAGCCATCTCGCTCTGGCATGACCCTGCCTGGTGTGTGATCTCCTGCAAATCTTCCAAAGTCCTGTGCCAAGGACCCCTCTCCGACGCCATCTTCCTGCACATCCGGCTGGATTAAAGGCTCATCCCAGAGCCAAAGGATGGCAGGGCATGGAAAGGCTGGTTAGGAGACACCAACAGGAGTGAGAGAGGAGGAGGAGAGGCCACGTGTGGGCCAATGTCGCCCTGCCCCCTGGAGTTCCCTTTCCTCCCCTGGGCCTCCGAGAGAGGGCGGCGGCCTTCCAAAGGACCCCTTATTCTTCACAGGACAGCAGATTAGAGGGGCTGGGCTTGTCCAAGGTCAATGCAAGGCTGCAGCTGTCTTCAACCTCGGGGTTCACCGGGAGGGCTCCTCGGCCCTATGGGGACCTGGCCAGTATTCCGCCATGTTCACGGAGTGCCATGCAGAGGGACAATATGCTGAGAGGCTGCAGGGATGATCTGGTGGCAACCCTGTCCCGTAGGGAAGAGGCGGGCAAGCAGAGGAACAGGGGCCCCTGAAGCTGGGGTGTATCCCAGGGCGGTGGGAACCGTGGGGAGAGTGGGCCCAGTCCCACCTGGCGGAGCCAAGGAGGGCTTTCCTGCAGGAACCCTCCCTCCATCCCCTTGCGCCCACTGCCCCTCGGGGCACTGAAGCAGCCAGGTGTGGTCCTAAGACATGTGTCCGGGCCGAAACCAGTTTGGCTCAGTGGATAGAGTGACGGCCTGCGGACTGGAGGGTCCCGGGTTCGATTCCGGTCAAGGGCATGTACCTTGGTTGCGGGCACATCTCCAGTGGGGGTGCAAGAGGCAGCTGATCGATGATTCTCTCTCATCGATGTTTCTAGCTCTCTATCCCTCTCTCTTCCTCTCTGTAAAAAATCAATAAAAATATATTTTTTAAAAAAAAAAAGACATGTGGCCCGGACAAGACAGGTGGCAGCGGGAGGTTGGCAGGGGGAGGTGAAAGAAGGCAGAGAACAAAAGGGAGAAGAGAAAAGGGAAAGCAGAGGAAATGGGGGAGGGAGAGGGAGGGAGGAGAGAGGGGAAAGGGGGGAGGGGGAGGAGGGAAGGGCAAGAGAAAGAGGGTGAGAGGAGAGACAGGGAGAGAGATTTGAATTTCCCATCTGAAAGGGGAGCGGTGGCACGTCAGGGCCTGGCTGAGGGGCCTGATTGGAGGGCGTCTCTGGCAGCAGCGGCAGCGGCCCCAGCTCGCCAGGCGGAGTTGCACGCGGCGGCGAAGCGGCGGGAGCTGGAACGGCAGAAGCAGCCGCCTCGCCGAGTCCGGCCGGAGCCCCGCAGTGGCTCAGACGGTAGCGGGACCGCCAGGTCGGTGCTGGCCGTGGGCCGGGAGGGCGGAGCTGGGCTGTGGGCAACAGGGTCCCGGCTCTCCTCTCGAGGCCGTAGGGCATCGCGGGAGGCTGAGGGTTATTGCTTTGGGGGCACAGCACCCCAAGACTGCTGGGGCGGACGCAGGACCGGGAGGCTGCAGGGCAGGAGCAGGTACCTTCCCCGGCGCGCTGGCTGCTGGCCGTGGTGCTGAACGGACAGCTCCCGCGAGGGGGGAGCCCGCAGGCTGAAGGGGGTGAAGCGGCATGCACTGGGAGAAGGTATGGGCCCCTTCCCGCCCCGGGAGCCCCCCCCCCCTCCCTTCCCGGGCAGCAGCTCCAAACAGCCCAGCTCCTGGGGAGCCAGGACCGCCCCGAGGGCAATGGGAGACTCGCTCAAGTCTGAACCCAGAGAGCAACTTCGAGCTGGGGTGGGGGTGGGGACCTCGATCCCAGCTACTTAGCGGGGAGCCTGCCAGGGCCCTCTCCCCCCAGAGGAGGAAGCCGCCCCGTGGGGTACAGTTCCGGCTCCCCGCTAAGGGGAGTGAGTCAGAGGGCGGCGGGAGGGGCGCAGACAGACAGACCAAAGAGGAGGGGAGAGCCTGAGCACCGTTTGGGGTGGGGGTGGGGGCCACAGGGACTATTTGTTCTCAGGGGAGGTGCGCAGGGATGGGCAGCACAGCCAGCCGCGGGGGGGGGGGCGGTCATTGGGAAGGGTCTCTTTTACGCCGTCGCCTGCCCCGCTCTGCCCCCTCCCCTGCAAAGTCTGAGCCCAGGCTGGGTCTTGAGGCTGGAGCTCTGTGTGGGGGAGGGGCGCTCCCAGTGGCCTCTGGAGAGCTGGGCAGAGGTGTGGGCTGTGCTGGTCTGTGAGGGGGCGCCAGGGCTCCTGTCCCCTCTTCTGGGGGGGGCGGGCTCAAAGCCCCCGCCACTTCTGCTGGTCTCCTGGCAGGTGTCCTGCCCCCTTCCATTCTCCCCAGCCCCTCCCCCTCCCCCAGTGCTTCCTTCCAGGGGCTGGGGGTGGGGTGGGATGGGGTGGGGAGGTGGGGATAGAAGGACAATCCCTGTTAGCTGAGGGTGGAAAAAAAAAAAAAAGCAGTTGAGTGTTGAATTGAGTTGCAGTGAATACAGCCCGAACTTGAACCATTGGGGGGGAAAAAAAACAAAAAAAAAAAAAACAGAAACTACAAGGACACACACTGCAGGTGCCTCGCATCTACTTGTCAGGTGGCAGGAGCCCAGCTCCTAGCAGGGCCGGGGCTCAGAAGGCAGAGCCTGAGGAGGTGCCCCAGCAGCCTTCAGGCTGGGACCAGCTGGGACGGGCTGGGACCCGCTGGGAGGAAGTCAGGGAAAACCTGAAGATGCGTCCTGGGTCCAGGGCATGCTGAAGGCAAGGAAACCGGGTGCTGCAGCTGCCCTTCCCCACCCCTGCGCGGCCTCCCCTCCCCGGCCCAGCATCCCCACCACCACCACCCTTCCAGCAGCGGGATAAGCCGAAGCTGCCCGCAGAACCGCCGAGGAGCGCCTCCTGGCGGTCTAGACAAAATCAACTGCACACCACCCGCTGCACCTCAGCACTCCTACAGGCATATGGCAAATCTCTACACACACACACGCCTGCACACGCCTGCACACGCCCACGCGCGAGCACACGCTGCCTAAATTCAGAGTCAGAATGCAGATCATACCTCGAGCGCGTACATCCTCCCATACTCGCTGACACAGAGCATTACATTCAATCCAGCTGGCTCCCCCACAGACCAGGAGGTGCTGCAGACACTGGGACTGGGAAAATGCACAAGACACAGGGAGGAGCCCAGAGGGACCGGGAAGAGGAAGACACATCACTGGACAGAGAGAGGAGCTGGAGGTAGCCGAGGCTGCCCTAGCAGATACCATCATGTCTCATGGAGGAGACCCAGGAAATGTCATGGGAGGGGTGACGTGGAGAGGCATCTTTGAAAATGAATACTGCTGCTGACAGTGGTGATAATGATGGTGATGACAGCCAATATGCACTGAGCACCTACAGCCAAACCCTGGGCTGAGCATTCCATCTGCATTGTCTCCTTTCATGTTCACAACATGCCTTGGGCATCGGTGTTATTGTCTCCATCTTACAGAAGAGGAAAGATTAAATCACTTGCTTAAGGTCACTGATAAGTAGTGGCGCTGGGATTTGAACCGGCAGAGATGAGGGTGCGGCATTTCTCGGCTGTGGAAGCAGCATGCACAGCCGCCCCAGGGTTAGGCAGCATGCTCTGTGCTGGGGCGCGGCGGAGGCAGAGCCACATGCAAGGTGTGGGAAACGGATGGCAGAGCAGGCAGGTGCTAGGTTGTGCGGGGATTGAAGGTCAGCGCAAGGACTCTGACCGGGTTAGGGAGGTGGTGTGGAGCCATGGCAGGGCGTGTTTGCACGAGCAGGTCTGCCCTTTAGAGAGATTAGCCGGACGGCTGTGTGAAGGCTGGGCGAGAGAGCTGGAGGAGACAGACAGCTTCAATGTATGCACAAATCCAGAGCCTTGAGGCCCCAACCAAGGCAGGACAGCAGCCAGAGGAGGAAGGAGGGTGTGAACACAGATTGTGAAGCCACAGTCCCCAGACTGCTCCCTCAGCACCCCGCCCGTCTGTAACTCACCAATTCCTGTGTGGCCTTTGTCCCGTGCCTGCCTCCCCCGCCGGCTGAATGCTGTGACAGCAAAGGCTGGGACTCCCTCGTGCCCTGCCCCAGCCCCAGCACCCAGGACAACGCCTGGCACAGAGCAGGTGCTCAGAGAATATTTATAGTGGGAGTGAGTGTGTGAGTGAATAAACGAAGAAGTCGCTGAGCCTGGAGTTTTCAGAGTGCCGGAGGAGGGGAGAGCTAGGTGGGGGAGGCGAGGATAAGAAAGCTCCCTGGACAGGATGAACTGGGATTATCCGTGTGGCGATATCCAGCTGCGAGTTAAATGGGCAGGTTTGAGGAGAGTGGGTGAAGGGAGGAGGGGGAGGTGGGGGTGGAGGGGATCAATCTGTGACTATAAAAAGACATAAACCAGTAAAAGTAGGTGAGGTTCCCGAAGGAAATGGAGGGGGAGGGAGGGGCATCAGGAGGAAGAAGGGGGAGAGATTGCCTAATGAGCAGCTGCATTTTAAAGCGGTGATTTTCAACCAGCATACCCCACTGGTGAGTCGCAAGAATGTTTAAAACATGCAAAACCTGCCTATTTTGTCAGGGGCACTGGCCTCTTTTCCCTTAGATTGTGAAAGAAGAAATGGCAACAGCCAACACAATAGCCATCTGATGTGAATGAATCAAAATTATACCTTTTTTATTTTTTTGTCAGATTGACCACAAAATATTTTTTTTAAGTGCCTGGAATTTTAGCGATTAGTTTATGTAGCCAGGAGATGAAAGAGGTTGAAAATTGCTGTTTTAAAGAAAAGGAGTCAGAAAAGGAGAGAGAGAGGACCTGTCAGGAAAGGAGAGAGAGATAAGAAGACCACAGAGTGCTGAGTCATGGAATTCAGGAGGTTCAAGAAGACAGGAAGAACCTGGGGACAGGGGCAGGTAGGGGTCCTCTCCACCATCTGATGCTCCTCAGGGATGGAGGAGGACCAGGGCGATGAAAATGCTCCTGGGTCTGGCCGTTAGGCAGCCTCTGGCGAATCTGAGTGGGGCAGTTTGGGTGGCACAGCAGAAGCAGCAAACCCCTGGTCTCACAGAGCTCAGGGCTTCACTGGGAGGCGAAGAAGCAGACACACCTGGTAAAGACTCTCCCCGTGAAGTGAGAGGGCAGAGATTAAGAAAAAGATGGGGTCAGGGCAAGAGTTGGAGGAGGAGGGGATGAAGACCTGAGGAGAGAGGCTAGGGAGGGAGGAACAGGGAGTGATGAGTGCATCAGGGAGGAGGTGCAAAGGAGAAAATCTGGAGTGAAGGCCGATGGGCTGCCTTCCCGGGGAAGGCGGAGTCCTCTTCCTCAGGAGAGGAGGAGGGGAGCTCACTGTAGCTGGCATTGTTTTAAAATATATTTTATTGATTTTTCACAGAGAGGAAGGAAAGGGATAGAGAGCTAGAAACATCGATGAGAGAGAAACATCAACCAGCTGCCTCCTGCACGCCCCCTACCAGGGACAAGCCCGGAACCAATGTACATGCCCTTGACTGGAATCGAACCTGGGACCTTCCAGTCCTCAAACCGACGCTCTATCCACTAAGCTAAACCGGTTTCGGCTCTAGCTAGCATTTTCCTAATGATAACAGCCACCATTTACTGAGCCCCCATTATGTGCCACACACATTCCTTAGGTTTGTTCTAACCTTTCAAAGTGGCATTATAATCCTCACTTTGTAACAAAGACTGAGACTCAGAGACGTTAAGTCAATGACTCGTTATCACACAGCTGAAAAGCTGCAGATTGAGGAGTCCTGTCAGGTATGCCTGACCCCAGAGCTCACAGACCGTTCCCGGCATCACAGGAAGTGTGGGGGAGGGTCACCTCCTGAGTGGGATGGGATCGGAGGACACTGGGCCTTGAGACATTGGTTAGGAAAGTCTTGACAGGGTGAACAGGACCCTGCTTAAGAGCTGGGAGAGCATTTGCTAAGCGAAATAAGCCAGTCAGAGAAAGATAAATATCACATGATCTCACTCATTTGTGGAATATAATGAACAACAGAAACTGATGAACAAAGACAGATCCAGAAACAGAGAAACATAGATCAGATCATCAAACCTCAGAGGGAAGGTAGGGGAGGGTGGGGATAAGGGGGAGAGATCAACCAAAGGACTTATATGCATGCATATAAGCCTAACCAATGAACACAGACACCAGGGAGATGAGGGCATGAGTAGGGGGGATGGGGGATAATGGGGGAATAAGGACACATATGTAACACCTTAATCAATAAATAATTTAAAAAAAAAAAAGAGCTGAGAGGACCATACTGGGAGTGGGCCACAGAATTCTGGGGAGGACCCAAGGAGCCTGGTTAAGCAATCCCAGCAGTCCCAGTGTAGGACGCACCTAGAGCAATATGGACATAGCATGGAGAAGACTCAGCCCTTGAGTGGACACACTGCATCCTGGGGGTGAGGGGTGGTCATCAATGTTTGCTGAATGAATGAATGAATGAATGGAAACAGAGGAGTCTGGAGAGGTAGATGGTTTGGTGTAGAAAGATAGCATGTTGAGTCTGAGCAGTGCCCAGAAAAAAGCGTCAAGGTAGCATCATCATCAGTATCAGAGATGATTAAAGCCTCTGGAAAGGACCATGTTCCCCTAGGGCACATGTGTCAAACACAAGGCCCGCGGGCCAAATCCCTCCCGCCAGGCCTTGCAATGTGGCCTGCACCGCGCTGTCATCACTGCACTCCGCTGCGTTTCCATCACAATGACAGTTTATGACTGTTCAGTAAACCATTCGGCCCGCGATTTAGGCTGGATTTTAGATTTTGGCCCCTTCTCTGATTGAGTTCGACACCCCTACCCTAGGGGAAGGTGAGAGAGGAAAAAGCTAAGTTCAGAGTCCTGCGAACATCTTCACTGAAGACACAAGAGGAAGAAGAGGAGGCTGCAAAGGACAGAGAGAGAGAAGAGGAGACAGAGAAGCAGAGGAGAGAGAGCAGTAGGAGATGGAGGTGGGGGCAGGGAGAGAATAACAGACCAACAGGGGAGGAGGGTTTAAGGAGACGGTGGAGTGGCCAGCAGTGCAAATACCTTAGAACGGAAGTGCCCGGGATAGGGCTCGGAAGTATCACCTGGTCCCGGGAGACGTGCCAACGCAGCAATTGAGGGAGGAGGCCGGAACCAAAGCCCAGGTGCCCTGCCAGCCAATTTGAAACGTCTCGAATTAGAGTCCGTGTCTCCCACCACCACCTGCAATTCCTTGAGCTGCATGTAAACACAGGAGGAGGAACCCAGTGGTTCCTGGAACCATTCCATGTTTAAGTTGTGTGTTTCTCCCTGTTCTTAGAAAGGCTGTCTCTTTACAATGTTTTGAGCCGAATGAAACCACCTTGGCAGACTGAGCTGAGCAATCTTCACACTCAGAATGTTGGGTCAGGGTGGGTTCTCTTGCATTTCCTACAAGGGCTGGCCCGTTTGGGTGTGTCCTCGTCAACATGCAGTCAGCAAGGGCTTATATTAGTGAGTTCCTACACACCAGACATGTGGCCAGTCTCTTGTCTTCTCCTTCAAACAGCAGTGGAAGGGTAGGGAACTATACCCCGCTTTGTAGGGAACGTAAGGAAGCTTTCCCAGTGGTCCAGTCAGGACGGGAGCCAGAGTGTCTGGTGCCAAAGCCTGTGGGCATTTTTTCTCCTCCATTATGATTTCCCTTCCTCAAAACAACCAGCTTATCATGTGGTCTGATCCTGTAGACTTCTCCAATAGACTCTCAGGCCCCATTTTATGGAAAGATCTCAGTCTGACAATATGTTTTCTCATTTTGAAAGAAATGAGGGAAATCCATCATCAACTGAAAACCAAGGGACCTTGAACTCCACCTGGTTGCAATATCTGGTCTGGTTTCTCTGACCCCCTTTTCCTTCTAGCAAAACACAAAGACCCCAACCCAAGGCTGTGTGGGATGAAAGGCCTTGGGGAGTCATTCTGGCCTCAGCTGACCATCAAGCCGCATCCCACTTTGGACAGCTCCGGGATGTCCCATCAGCACCCAAATGGGGATGTATGGTGGCTTTGCCTGTGAAAGCTCCGGTGATATAAACGGTTAAAATAAAAAGGAAACCTCTAGGAGTTAGAGCACTGCTGTTCAAATGCTTAGGAATGTGGAGGAAACAGGGCACAAAGGAGGCCAAGGGTGGTGGGGGGCCCCCAGGCTCTCTACCCCGCCCCCACCATTGGAATAGTTCCACTTTTTTTAATATATATATTTTATTGATTTTTTTTTTTTTACAGAGAGGAAGAGAGAGGGACAGAGAGTTAGAAATATCAATGAGAGAGAATCACCAATCAGCTGCCTCTTGCACACCCTCCACTGGGGATGTGCCCGCAACCAAGGTATATGCCCTTGACCAGATCAAACCTGGGACCCTTCAGTCCGCAGGCCAATGCTTTATCCATTGAGCCAAACCGGTTTCGGCTGGAATGGTTCCACTTTTACATATCTTGCATATTGAGATTCTCATTAAGCTTTTATTCGAAGAAAAATCTTCTGAGGCAAAATAATAACAATTAAAAAATATGATAAAACTGAAAGTCAGTGATTCAGGGAGAGGGAAGGAGTGCTAACATATGCTGAGTGCGTACAAGGCCCCATGCTTGGTATTTTAAAGACTCTAAGCCCCAAGAAGAGTATCATGTCTCTAACCCCCTATGTGTAATTCAAAATAAAAATAAAGATTAAGCTATAAACAACACATTTGCATATATGTTACAATAAAAATAATGTATTTCTCCATTTGCTTATTTTCAAAAGTCTGGATATATTCATCCAAGCTCGCTGTCTTCACTTCCTCGCTTGCCATGATTTGTGGGTCCCTGGGCACACTCTCATTCCATCTAGGGGTCAATCCAGTGGCCCAGGCTGGAATTCTCTGGTCTCCACAGCAGCTCTGGAAACGGAGGCACTGCCATTTCTATTTTATGGAGGAGGAAACTGGGGCTCAAAGGGGTTCCATAACTTGCCTGAAAGACATATAGCAAATAAGAAATGAGGTGGCATCCAAATTGAGAGGCTCTTTCTAAGATTCCTGACTACAATCAAATTCAAGCAATACAGTCAAGATGGTTTTAAAATAGGGATCTAGCCCTAACCAGTTTGGTTCAGTGAAAAGAGTATCGGCCTGCAGACTGAAGGGCCCCAAGTTCGATTCCGGTCAAGGGCACATGCCCAGCTTGCGGGCTCAATCCCCAGTACAGGGCATGCAAGAGGCAGCCAATCAATGATTCTCTCATCATTGATGTTTCTATCTCTCTCCCTCTCTCTCACTCTCTGAAATTAATTTAAATATATATATTTAAATTATATATATATATATATATATATATATATATATATATATATATATATATCATAAAATAGGGATCTGAGTCTTTTGGCAGCATATTTGTGACTGGTATATAGCAAGTGCTCAAGAAATAGCACCTTTCCCTAAGGATCAAGGGCATTGCGTCTTGGCCTCAGACTGATGGTGTCCCATGGTGCCTATGAACCTGGATGAGGTCACCGTCTATCTAAACTCCAGCAGCCTGGCTGTGCAGAGGTCTCTCCCATCTAACTCCCAGCTCCTCTTTTGCAGGTTGGCAAATCTCCCAGCCGGCCTGCCAGGAGCACTGCATGTGAATTCAGCTGTGGGCTAGGGCGCACTAACCTGAGTCACAGCCATGGACTTCGTCATGAAGCAGGCCCTCGGAGGTGAGGCCCCAGCCCTGCACCCTCCCCCCTCAACCAGGATCTGAACCCAGATGGGAGAGGCTCTCAGAGATGGTTCCATCAACCAGGGAACCGCTATCCCAGCTCTGAGCACCCCTGACCTCGTCCTCTCCCTTCCCAACCCTCCCCTGCAGGGGCCACCAAGGACATGGGGAAGATGCTGGGCGGCGAGGAGGAGAAGGACCCAGACGCACAGAAGAAGGAGGAGGAGCGTCAGGAGGCGCTGCGGCAGCAGGAGGAGGAGCGCAAGGCTAAGCATGCGCGCATGGAGGCCGAGCGTGAGAAGGTCCGGCAGCAGATCCGAGACAAGGTCAGCGCCATCCGCCCGCCCGCCCGCCCGCCCGCCCTGGGGTACAGGAGGCACGGGGGAGCAGTGGGTCCCCAAACCCTGGCCTCAAGTTCCCCTGAATCCAGCTCTGACCTTAGGCCTAGTTCTCTCTGAGCTCCATAGTCTCATCAGAAAAGTGGGGGTGACAGAAACACCCTCTCCCAGGATCTGCGGTGATCCCCGATGACGGTGCACATAGGAAGTGCTCTCTAGTGTTGCTGCTATGGGTCTGCGATCTCCTATTCAAAACCCTTGAGACCAAAGAGGTTTAGAATCCAGTATGGGGGGGGGGGGGGGGTGAAAAGTTTCCTTAGTGCCCTGAGCACCTGTTACTGATAGATATCACCCCGGTGGGTTGCGGCTGCCAGCCTATGCCAAACAGATTAACACCTGTCTGGCCACACCACCGCAATACATCAAGATTCTAAGTAGGCTTCCATCCGTGGAAGTCAAAGTTTGTCACCAAAATTCGGGTCCAAACATAAGGGAGAACTTCCAGATTTCAGAACTCGGGGGATTTCAAAAGAGCAGAGAAGGCATTATGAGCAGGGATTGATTCCAAGGAAACCCCTCACACCGCCTCTCTACATCTGGGGACTGACATCATTCGCCAAGAAGGTGCCCTTCTCCCCATTTTATAGATGAGAGGACTGAGACTGGGCGCGTTCTCATGAGTTGCTCCAGCTGAGTCTGTGTGAAACTTGAGACCAGCTCTCTCCTTGCCCTGTTCATGCTCATGTCTGCCCTCCCCCCACCCCCAGTACGGGCTGAAGAAGAAGGAAGAGAAGGAGGCTGAGGAGAAGGCAGCCCTGGAGCAGCCCTGCGAGGGGAGCCTGACGCGGCCCAAGAAGGCCATCCCCGCGGGCTGCGGGGATGAGGAGGAGGAGGAGGAGGAGAGCATCCTGGACACGGTGCTCAAATACCTGCCCGGGCCGCTGCAGGACATGTTCAAGAAGTAACCAGCCCTCCTTCCTGCCCACCCCCACTCCACCTGTTACTATTTTTCTTTCTTCCGTTCTTTCTTTTCTTTTGATTCAGTTGAAGTCTCAGTTCTGACAGGGAAAACCTCAGTTGGCCTCTGCCCACCTGTCCCTGGCGAGGGGCTCATCTCCTTAGCACTCCCACACACACCCTTCATCCCGGGGTATCCCACCCCCACCGCACTCCCACGTTTCTTGGAAAAGGGAAGACAGCTATTCCCCAGCGGGGGCATTCTATCCAGTGTGGGAGGCGCTGGGGCCCCCTTCTAGAAGCCTAAGGTCCATGCTAGTGTGGTAACCCCCATACATTCCTTCATGCACCCCACTGCCAGGAGGACCACTGTCCCCAGCCAGCCAAAGTAATGACACATTCCGGCCCTGCCCAGCATGCTGACCTTTGGCCTCCGACCCCCAGTGGGCTCCAGGTCAGGGCAGGGGTTCTGGGTTGTCTCGCTCTGAAGAAGGGAGTCAGGGTAAGCCTGCCCTGGGAGGGCCCAGGCTAAGAGGCCCCTCTTTTCTGGGAAGGAGGCTGAGGCTCTCCTCCTACACGCCCCCTGGTGACACGCAGGAGTACCCCTGGGTGTACCCCTGCCCCAACCGCCACCTGCAAAGGTATACCCCCTACAAAGCCAGTCCCTCCAAATGGATCCTCTTTGGACTATAACTCATCTGTGGAGGGGCCCAGGGTAGGGTAGCTCCTTGTTCCCCCACCCTCCACTTAGCTCTGGGGGGCCCACTGCCAGTCTGGGCCCAGCTTGCCCAGACAAGGGGCTGCCCAGGCCCCCCAGAAAACACTTGGAGCCATTGGGCAGCGATGGCCTATGCCATGGGACACCCCCCCATTGGTGCAGCCAAGCTGCCCCCATTCCTATCCACCGCTCATTCCCACCGCCCTGTCCTATGTGCTTCCAGGACCCCATGGTCCCCTGGAGGACCCCTCCTGGCTGAAGCCCCAAGCCTCTGGGGAAAAGCCAGTCCCCACTTGACAGAAGGCATCTGTCCATTCATGTCATCGGCCAAGAACAACTCTCCTCTGGGATGTGGGAGACTGGTGTTTATTCCTCCAGCCACAGAGGTCAAGGCCTCCTGCTCAGTCCGTTTTGTGAGAACTGAGGGCCATGGAGCAATGAGAGAGGAAACTGTGTCCATGCATGCATCTGTATGCATGGCAGAGACCGCATCAGCAATGATGTGTCCAGAGGCTGTACATATAGGTGTATGGCGAGAGAGAGAGAGAGAGAGAGAGAGAGAGAGAGAGAGAGAGAGAGAGAGAGAGAGAGAGTCTTGAGGTTGTGAGTATGTGTTAGTCATCAAGACCTTGCGGTGTTAGAGATTGTGTATGTTAGGCAGCTTGTGTATGTGTGTTTGAGGTAGTACGTATGAGTTGATATTGTGCCCTATGTGTGTACTAACCATCTCATGTGTGTGGGAGAGCTTGCATGTGTGAACTTGTATTTGCATGTGTTTTCAAAGCATCATGTATGTTAGGAGTGATGGGTGTGTATTAGATGTTGTAGAGATGTGCTAAGACTGTTATGTGCATGTATGTAGCTCTGAAAAGGCAGGTGTATGCAGAACAGGCTCTTGGAGAGAAAAAATATGGTTAAGACGCCTCCTCTTGGCCCCAAAACCATTGGCCACAAATAGCCACATCCAACAGGAGACCTTGTCCTTGGCCCAGAGTCCTTCCACCTTTGGGGGTTCCTGCCTGCGGTCTTCACAAGCCCCTGGGACAGATCCAGGCAGTGCCCCAAGAAGCCATGCTGGGCCCCAGCCAGGGCCTGCCCCCAAAGCTGGGGCTAGGGAGGGGGCGACTTGCCTGCCCCTGATGCCCCTGCCCCATTGGCCCCAGTTTGCATTCTGCAGGTTTTCCATTTTAGTGGATTTATGCTTTTATTTCAGAGAGAGACATGTGTCTTCTCTGTCCATTTCCAATAGTTAAAGCCATATCAGTTAGACTGCAATACTTTAGAGATGAGACAAAATAACCCATACGTTTAGGGAACCAGAAAAGCACCCTGGTCTGTCCCTTCTCGGGGAGCAGGGCCTCAGCAGCGCCAGCTCCCTGGACCTGCCCTTCTCCCTCACCCCCGCCCCTTCCCTGTGCCCACGCCCTGCCCCGCACGGGGCCTGTCTCTGTATCTGTGCCTGTGTCCGTGATGGGGAGCCACCTTGCACCCCTATTGTCTGCTTGTCTGAGTTTGTCTATTATCCTGGGCAGGATGGTCATTCTCTAGGGCCCCGGGGTCCTGAGGCAGAGAGAGGCAGGGCCCAGTCCATTGGCTGGGCCTCCGCACACCCTGCGTGTGAGGCCCACTGGACATGGGGCAGTTCCTTCAGAAAGGTCTCCCCCTTGACTGGGACCCACTGGTCTGGAAGATGGGGCCAGGGCACAGATCATGCTAAATGGACAGTGGAGGCCGAGGCCTGGGAGCTTCAGCTGAGCAGGGAATCCAGGCGTACAAGGTAGTTCAGGAGAGCCTGAGGGACCCCAGAGCCCCAGAGGGCATCCTGGCGGTCCCTGAAGCCCTCTGCACCCCCAGAGTGGGCTCAGGGCTTTTCCCACAGGAGAGTGCCCTCCAGGCTGGCTGGCTTAGTCTGGGATACCTCCCAGACTCTCCGGATCCTACAGCCTGGCCCCAGCAGCAGGACTGGAGGCCTCTGGGAGGTGGGCACCAGGAGAGAATGTCAGCCTGGGGCACACCTGGCTCTAACCACTGCCAGGTGACCACACTCAGGTCCAGGAGAACATGATGACTATCATTCCTGACAGACTTGACTCTGGAGAGCAGCCCACATGCAGCACACGCTTGAGGAGACAAAACGTGTGTCGGGGGGAGGCTGCAGCAGGGCAGGGATAATCACATGATGTGCCTGGGGCAGGAGATGTGTGTGTCCCACGGGATGGGAGGGGATGAGTGTGTTGCAACAAATGGGTCAACGTGCATGTGACAGACTTGGGAGGCTGGGTGGGGAGGGAGAGGCCCCAGAATTCAGCGCGCGCGCGCACACACACACACACACACACACACACACACACACACAGTATACTTAGCAGACACCCCCCAGCTAGGGATATAGGAAGAGCAATCATAAGTGGTGAGAACAGAACCAGATGCAGGAGAATGCGCACTGCCCGGGGTGGGTGTGTGTGCTTCCTGAGGAAGGCCACTGACAGGCGTGGGCCTGTACGGCCGCCGCCAGAGAGAAGGGACTGGGCCTCTCTGGGTTTGTCCATTAGGCACCTGAGACAGGCAAGGATGTGGGCATCCTCCACTCCAGTCCAGAAGGTCCTGGAGGGTGTTCTTACCAGCAAAGCCATATGGGGTCTCCTCCAAACACAAGCAGGAAGTCAAGAGACCCTCCCAGGTGTGTGTGTGATAGAGAGATGGCAGACAGATGGATGGATGGATGGATGGATGGATGGATGGATGGATGGGTGGATGGATAGATAGGCAGGCAGACAGATAGATAAAAGGGGAAAAAGGGGCAAGAGAGACAGAGAACAGAAGTATATCAGTCCAGGGCCCTCATGTGGGCAGAGAAGCCACCCAAAAGTTGGTGGTTAGAGTGTAATGAGACAGACACCAAGCCCCAGGAGCCCCCGCACCCAGCTGGCAGGGTTGCTGTCCCCACCACCCAGTCGCTCCATCCTTCTAGGATCCCACGGGCGCTTGACTGCACAAGGGGACTGGGGTCTGACTGGCTCCGATGAGGGGACGTCTCCCGGGCCTAACGATTTGCCTCCCCCCACGTGTCCCCTGCTCCCCTCTCCGCCCCTCTTCGCGGTGAGGAGAGGGGAGGTGCTCGTGCTGGTCCCGGGTGCAGGCGGGGGTCCTGGCGAGGCCCTGGTGAGGATGACCATCCTGCCCGCGCGGGGGTACCCTTTTCCCATCTCTGTGCTGTGTCTTTGTTGCTCTGCTTCCTTTAAATGTGTCAGTGCCTGGGGGAGGGGAGGGGCACCCCTATGCCCCCCTGAACCTGACCAAAAGCCATGGCTGTTGCTCCCCCTTTGTATGACGCAGACGCTAAGATGTACCAACCCAACCATGACAACAAAGAAAAGACCTTGTACAGCAGCTCTAGGTCTGTCTGGTCTCTTCTGTCCATCGGCACCGACAAGGCTACAAGGGGTACCAGCTGGCATGCGGGGGGCTGACCCATAGAGCTCAAGAGGCCACAGAAAAACATCAGTTTTGCCCTCGCTTCTGGCTGAGCCGCTGTGGAAATGGCCTCAGAAATCAGCCAAGGCCATAGTCAGGGATGGCCTCGGAGATCCTCTCACCTCCTGCCCTACAACCTCAGGAGCTGGTGGTCCAGCCTGTCACCACACCCACCCCATCTCTGGCCACTCCGAGCTCCTCGGGGGTGGCACCTGGCACAGAGCCGAGTCACATGGATGAACAGGTGTCATTGATGGAGTTCTCACAGTAAGGACACCGCTCAGCATTGCTCCTGGACACAGACATTTCCCAGGCTTTGCTGAAGAATCAGGACCAAACCAGAACCCTCTCTACCCTCGCTGCCCTCTACCATCACCCTGCCTTACAGGCCTCAGCTTTCCACTTCCTGGCTAGGCACCCCCCATCCCTACACACTGGTCTCCCAGACACTACGTCCTCCCTCCCTCTCCTCCTCGCCCTACCACCCGCCCGGCCTAGGAATCTGACCAAAAACAACACAAACATAACCACGTCACTCCTCTTGCCCACACCCACCATGGCCTATAGGACAGCATCAAGGTTGTCCAAATGGCCCGGTGTGCGATGGTTCCAACCTGCTAGGCAATGTGGAGCCAGTGAAGGATCTTGAGGTATGACATGATCAGATGTTCAGATCGAGGAAGATGAATCGGGAGTTAGCTGAGGAAGCCAGGAGCCCGGGGATGAGCTGGTGCAAAGCCGGGGTTGGAGATGTTGAGGCCTGACCTCAGGCAGTGGCAATGGGTCAGGGAGAAGTAAGCAGGTTAGAGGAACATAGGAGGGCACGTTGGCAGGACTTGGGGACTGAATTTGGGGGACAGCAATAGGGGTCTAGGCCAATGCCGTGTGTCCGTCTTGGTTGCTCCATTCTCCACCATCTGGAGTGCCAGTGGGAGACAGGTCTAGGGGAAAACCATGAGTTGGGTGTGGGGCTTCTGAGGAGAATGCATGGGCAGCATGCTCTCCAGGCTGGAGGACAGGAGAAGCACAAACTGTATTTTATGTGTTTCCCCCACTCCGTCTCCCCCACCCCCACCCCAGCAGTCCTGACCATTTCCCAAGCACAGGACATCAAGAAGCCTGGATGGGAAGGAGTTCCCAAGTCACATCCATCCTCCCATGTCCCAGCATCCCTCCGGTGCAGCCCTGGCAGGCAGCACTCCCTGCTCGCACCCCCACAGCGTGGGAGCTTCTTACAGTTACCCCGGTCCGCTTTCTCCTGCACCACCAGCTTCCAGGAGGCAGGCGGCTGCCAAGCCTCCAGCACACCTTTAATTGACTGCGAAATCCTGCTTCCAGCCACTCACTTAGCACTTGTAATTAATTGGGGCTTCTTGCCTGATCTGAGACACGATCTGATACCCCCCAAGGACCAGGTTTTCTCAGCTGGGATCCTCCGCTGGAGCCATCTCTCCACACAGGCTTCTCCGGACCACAGACAGGCTCCGGGCCTTCCTCTGCGTGAGCTCCCGCCGGGCGCTTCCCCGCGCCACGCACAGAGGTGGCACAGGGTACGGCTGTGCTCAGTGGGCGGGGCCGGAGCTGGTGTTACCATCGGCTTGAACTCGAGTGTCTCCCGCGCTCAGCCACATCAACTCCCCAGTGTTCTCACAGCGAAGGCACTTGGCATGACCCTGTCTACACGAGGGTCAAACAGCCCATCTTCAAGTTCATGGACGGAGGGGGGTTAAGAGGGCAAGAAGGGAAGGCAAGGGAACCTCTGCTTACTAAGCCCCTGTTATGTGCCATCCACAGGGTTGGCTGCTGTAACGGCCCTGCCTCTGCTCCTCTGTGCAGTCAGGATGATGCCCGTTTTACACGTGAGAGCACTGAGGCTCAGAGGCAGAGGTGCACAATAGGGAGCAGAACATGCTTCAACTTTTTAACAAGCCTAGCTTTGAATCTAGATTCTCTCCGCCTTATCTTTGGCAGATGACACAACTGCTCAGAACCTTGGTTTCCTTATCTTTAATAATAAATGAATGAATGAATGAATGAATGAATGAATGAATAAATAAATAAATAAATAAATAAATAAATACAGTGAGTGTAACCATACCTAACTCCACCCCCGCCACCAGGGGCAGCGCGGGGATTAACTAAAATCACACCTGTAGATCCCCTACAGTGCCTGGCAGGCAGCAGGTACTTAGAGAATGACAGCTACCACCATGAGGCCCTACAATTACTATGGCAAGACTGATGAAGACAAATAAGATGAGTAGAGGAAAGGGGGGAGAAGATGTGAAAATGATAAGAAGAAGAATTCATTTCAATCAAAATCCTCAGGTCATCCAAATAGTAAGCTGGGAAGCCTGGATTTAAAACCAGATCTGTCTTGTCTTCTCATTGTAAAAGGCGGCAAGGGTCACAAGTGATAGGGAGGATAGATGGAACTAACTTTCTCTTCCAGGAAGCTCTCTTCAGCTCAAAAGAGACTCAGAAATATGTATTAGTTATCCATCACTGCATAAAAATCCTAAAACTTAGTGGCTTAATCTAATAAGTCTTAATTTCCCACAGTTTCTGAAGGTCAGGAATTCTGGAGTAGTTCTGGATTGGGGGGCTCTCATGAAGTTGCAATCAAGATGTCAGCTGGGGCCACAGTCTCATCAGAAGGCTTGTCTGGGGCTGGAGGACCCCCTTCGACAATGGTTTGGTCACAGTGCCGGCAAGAGCACAAGGTGGAAGCTGCAAAGACTTTCGTGACCTAGCTTCAGAGGTCATACACCATCACGTCTACAGAATTCTGCTGTCCACATAGGCCAGCTCTAATGCACGATGAGAGGATACAGTGGGCATGAACACCAGCAGGAAGATCATTGGGGGTGGGGCTCATCTAGGAGGCTACCTACCTCAAAATGTATTGTTCAGCCCCTACTACACTCCATTCATCCATTCCTTTGTGTCTTCAGCAAACTCTTCTCCAGGGGCCTCCCCATGGCCAAACACCGGCCAGGCCCTGCCTTTCAGACATGAATGTGGCATGGTCACAGGAGCTCAGATCCAGACATGCACACCAACACACCACTGAGCATCATGAGCCAACATCTGGATCTTTCCCAAACAGACTTGGTCCCAAGTCTGGCTTGTTATGTGAAAGCACCACTTGACCTTGAGCACATTATTTTACCTCTCAGACAGAGATAATAATACCTGTGCTGCCTAGTGATTGCAACAAATGTATTAAAGTGCCCCATACACAGCAAACTCTCAATAGATGATGAATAACACTATTAATATTACTACTCTATTAATAAACAGAGACTGTGCTCGCACACGTGGACAGCAGCCCCACTTTCGTCTCCTCTGCCCCCCAACGGAAGGCTGGGCTCTTGGAGCCCAAGGCTGCCACTTCCTCCCACAGGCCCAGCAGAGCCGCACCCTGGCCCTGACAGCCAGAGGCTCCTGGCCGCCAGCCCTACCCGGCGGCTCCAGCAGAGACCTCAGGTTGATTTGCCGTTGGTTAGCTGGGAAGCGAGAGCTCTTGTTGGCTCGTGGCCAAAATTCATTCTGGGAGAGCAGGGTAATCACCTCCTTGGCAGGTGTCCGGAGAGTGGGATAGAGACCGAGGACAAAAAGGCTCCATCCCACCGCCCAGAGCCAGGCCTCGCTGCAGCCGGCTCCCACCTCCCGTGTGTGGGGGCCGCTGCGCTGTCCTCACCAAGCAGCATGTGCCCCGTGCTTCCAGTGGTCTGATGCGGTGAGTGGCTCTCAGACTTCGCAGCAAGTCAGATAACAGGGGGATCTTTAAAAAATACTGATGCCTGCTTTGGGCCCCCGGACTTTTCGATTCAATTGGTGAGGGGTGCACTCTGGGCGACGGTTATCTTGCAAGCTCTCTGCGTGGTTCAAATAAGCAGCAAAGCTGGGGACGTGCTAGTCCCATCTGGATGCGTGTCCCTCCACAGCAGTCACTGAGTCACTTGCCCATTGCTCTCTGAGCACCTACAAAATGCCCCGCAGTGTTCTAAAAGCTGCAGATATCACAGGGAACAAAAGCACTGCCCTTGTGGAGCTGACATTCTAGTCAGAGGGGGCAGACAAGAAACAAGAGAATAAGTAAACTATATATATATATAAAAGCCTAAATGACCGTCCGACCAGTAGCTATGACACATACTGACCACCAGGGGGCAGATTCTCAACGCAGGAGGTTCCGAGCTGCGGTGACTGGGCAGCTGCGGTTTTTGGGGACGCACCCGGAACCAGAGAAGAGGGAGCCCGATTCGGGGGCATGTCACCCCAGAAAGGCCCTCTTGCAATCTGGGACCCCTCAGGAGACATTGGAGAGCCAATCTTGGCCCAATCCCCACAAACCAGGCCAAGAGACCCAACCGGTACACAAATCTGACCGGGCTCTACTATAATACAGGGTTTTAAGTAAGAAGAGATATGAACAGGCGGCGTGGAGGGTCAATTGGCGGCTCAGAGACCAACATGGAGACTCCAGCAGAGAATGAAAGCTGGGTGTACTTGGGCACAGCAGTGGGAAAGGGAGAGGAAGGAGACACTGGAGAGCTGACGGGGAAGAGGAACAGGCTGGTGTGGCTGGCCTGGGTGAGCAGGGAAGGAACAGAGAAGGACTGTATTTTCTGGTCTGGGCTAGAGGGCAGACAGTGGAACCCTTCTCTGAGATGGGACAACTCGGAGGGAGCTGGTTTGAGTTGTGTGTGAGGGGTGTAGGGGGGTAATGAGGGGGAGTCTGTGGGGCCTAGGAGCATTTGCTCAGCAGAGTCTGAACTGGAAGTATTGATAGGATGTTAGTTATCACTGATGAGATTTAAGGATCTACTAGTCGATGGCCCAGGGGGCTGGTGGGGAGGGAGAAGAGTCCTTGGGACTTGGGCACCTCACAGGTTTCTCTCTGCACCAGAGAAGGGAACATGATGTAGTTTACAACGTGGGAGCAGGAAGACACCGCAAAGGCTACAAAAACACCGTCAGAAATCTCACACAGACAGGACAGGGAGTGAGGGTTCAGTGGACACCACAGCCCCCAGCTCAGCCACCAAGGAGCCGCAAGGTAGGGTGCATCCTCCAGGGACTGGGGCCCTGGTTGGGGGTTGGTCCAGCTCCCTGCCAGCATCCTAGGGTCCCGTGACACCATCCCTACTGCTTGCACCATGGTGACAGGTTAAGCCCTGAAAATCCTCCACCTCCTTTCACATGAGAAGAAGGGGCTCCCTGGTCTCCACAGAGCCAACCCCACCCCCCTCCGCACTCCTGCAGTTGTTTTCTCCCCTTGCCCCCCAGGCTCGCAGTCCCTGGGAGCGTTAATAACTGGCTGCCAAGTCCCCTGGGGACAGATAATGAAACTGCTTCCTCTGGGCCTTGGGCTCTGGTTGCTCTGGTTGCCCTGGAAACTGGTTTCTCTGCACAAAGGGTCAGCGATGTCATGGGGACAGGGATCCCCTCTCTGGCTCCCCTTAGGCTGGCCTCCTCCCGGGTGGGCACTAATTGGTAAAAACCCTTTTCCTCTTCTTGCACCATCCACTGCATATCCCTGAAGGCCTTATTGGACAGGCTGATGGGTGGGCCCATGACTCTTAGAAGCTCAGGTCCTTCCATCACACCTCCTTACTCCACACTGCAATCAGGACAGTGTGGGGAGGAGTCAGGCGGCTGCCCACCCCATCCACAGGGCTGACCATGACCACGCTGGTGCGGAGCACGGGCACAGCTCCTCCTCTGTCAGGGGCCAATAGTACCACGCGTGCTGCTGCTTAGTCTGACGCCCTTCCCTAAGGGGCCCCAATGTCTTCCCTGACTACTTGGCTACATCTGGGTCATAGAGCTCGACAGACAGACAGGTCTGTTCACAGACCAGGCTGTGATCTCTGGTGTCCTAAGAAGCATCTGCTGAGTTTGCCTGCCAGCCACCTCCCCTTCTTCTGGGTGCAGGACACCAATATTACTTGTTGGGGGTTGATCCAGCTCCTGGGATCTGGATCAATTACTTGGGGTGGGGAGGCCACCCCTCATTCACTCTCAGCCCCTGTAGTTTTGGATCCACTGTCCCTGGTGTGGCCATGTGACCCTGGTCTGACCTATAAGAGGACCACATCTTCTTATCCACTTGATTGGCTCAGGGGTGGTCATGTGACCCAAGTATGATCAGTGAGAACCCTACTTGGCACTTTAACTGGAACCACTGTGGGAAAGACTCCCTCTCTTCTCTGCAGAGGCTGAACTGGCCCAGTGAAGGCCTGGAGCTGCCAGCAGACATCTTGCTTCCTATCTTTTTTTTTTTCCTTTTTCTTTTTAATATATTTTATTGATTTTACACAGAGAGGAATTGAGAGGGACAGAGAGTTAGAAATGTCGATGAGAGAGAAACATCAACCAGCTGCCTCTTGCACACCCCCCACTGGGGATGTGCTCGCAACCCATGTACATGCCCTTGACCGGAATCGAACCCGGGACCTTTCAGTCTGCAGGCCGACACTCTATCCACTGAGCCAAACCAGTCTTGGCGAGACCTATTCTATTTCTTAGGTTAGAATGTACTACTCCCACTTCTTCAGCCTGTGAACTCAAACTCCGCCTTCAAAACACCACTCAGTGCCACCTCCACACAGTCTCATTCCCACCTCAGGGCCGCACAGAGATCATATACAGGATTGGGCAAAAGTAGGTTTGCAGTAGTTCGTATGCAAAATAGTTAATAAATATTAATACAAGAATAAAGTCTGTATTTCATGTACTCACGACTATAAACCTACTTCTGTCCCACCCTGTGTATGAGTGCTTATTATATACTAGACATGCTGTTGCATCTAACCTTGCACAATAACCCTAAAATGTGGGGACTAAAATATCCCAGTTTTGCAAATGGGACATCAGAAACTTAAAGTTGAATTAACTTACCCAAGGTCGCCGAAGAAGGAAAGCACAAGGTCAAAAGTGGTAAAGAATTGTGAATTTCTTAGATCGTCTGTATCCCGAATGGGCTGAGCCACAAATGGCACCAGCAACCAGGGACGGAAAGTCAGAAATTTTAAAGGACTCTAGGCAGGCTTTTTCTGGGCGGAGAATTCTCTGAGTGGGTCCAGACCCTGGGAAGGTCCAAGGGGAAGGATAATGGTCTTAGCAAGTGGAAGGTGGTCTCGGTGAAAGGGAATGTCCGTTGTGAAATAGTCTAAAGGGCAGTTCCAAGGGGAGGGGGTATGGATTTGATTATTTGACCAGACCTAACATTCCAGCCTTTTTGTCTTATGGAATAGGGAGGGAGGTCTTATCTTCCATGGTGACTTGCTGCTGAGGGGGGACGTTGAGATAGGGGGATGGATTGATTGCAGTCAGCTGGAACACTGACTCCTGGTTGGAGTGAGGGGTTGCAGCAGCATGAACTTTGGGAGACTGGGTGGTGAACTCCGTGGGAGACTGGGTGGTGAAGACTCACAAGCAGTCCTGAAGGAAGCATGGCGCAGAATACATGGGCCAAAAACGAGGATGAGGAATAGGAATGTTAATGGTCCTATGAAGGGAAGTAGCCAGGTACCAATTTATATTCTTTAGCCAGAAGACCCATTTGATTGACATTTTCTAATCTTTTTGGCCCTGTCTGTTATTTTTGGGTGGCATCCCTGATAGGCCAGACTGATTGACATAAAAACAACGTTCTCCCTCCAGAAAGAGGCAGAGACCCCCGCTTCTCCACAGTTAGGTCTAGTCCTCTCTGATTTCTGGAAGGTGACAGCTGCTAGTGAGTCATCTGATCCTGAATCTGAACTAAACTTTTGGCAGTGTCATCTAGGCTTTCTTGTAGGTCCTGAGACAGGATTTCAGAACATGACAGAGCAATGGCTAAGCCCCTATGCTAGTCCAGACACCTGCTGTGATGCCGAGGGTGATGAGGAGAGAAATCATCTGAACTGCCCTTTGTGTCGGATCTGACGGGTTATGGGGACAGGCAAAGACTGGTCATGGGGAGCTATATTTATATCGGGTGAGAGATAGATAAGAGTACAAGTCCCTGTCCAACTGAGAGACTTCGTGCCAGACGAAAGCATCCACGCACGTGCTGTGACCACAAGAGAATCTGGCAAACACTTGCTCCTACTCACCTTGCTCCCCATTGCCCCCAACTTTCTTGTCCCCACCCCTGGGCCCTGGCATTCACTGAGGGTCCCCAGGATATACCAGGAAGACTGAACTCTCATGTCCCCAAAGGCCCCCTGGGCAAGCAAAGAGGAAAGCTGGTGGAAAGGAGACTTTCTTTAACGGAGGACCTGGCCCCTTTGGAGGGCCAGCATCTCTCCCCAGGTTTGGAAATACCTGCTTGACACATCATTAAGTCATCAAAGCAAAGGCGGGACCCATTCGAAGAAAAGAGAGTTGAAAGAATACCTAGTCATGTTGTTTGCATCTGCGTAAAAAAAAAGAACTAGAAGCACAATTATCTAATACAAGGGTTTATTTGTGATGAAGGGTTCAGAGCAGAGCAGATGGTGAGAGGTGTGGGAGTTAGATCTTTCCATTCTCTGCTGTTTTGTATTGTTTTGATTGTTGAGCCCTATGAATTATTACCTATTTAAAACAAACAAACAGAAAATGTTCAATGACAAAAGAAGGAAGACCCACTCATCTCCCGCTGACGGTGGCTGCGCAGATCCAGGCCCTGGGGCGCGGGCACTTACAACGTGGGCCCCGAAGGAGGAACGTCCGTCCAGCTTCCTGAGCGGCTCCATGGCGATTCATGACGTATCTGAGTCCCCGCTCATGGGACAGGGAGGGCGGAGGTTCAGCCTCAGTTTCCCCAACTCCAAAATGAGACTGAGGAAGAGGCGCCTGTGAACCTCACGCGGCTTCGGGGTGTGCGTGTTTGCCGGCTCCTCATCACTCAGGAGCCACGCAGCCCAGCAGCCCGGCTGCCGATGCACAGGAACTCGCAGCAGCAACTGGCCTGGAGGGGAGGAGGTGGCGGAACTTCTCGTTTTGACAAATGGCTTTTATTTATCCACGACCGGCAAACAAACGCTCCACCAGCATGCAGCTAATCACCCCAGAATATCAGCACGTATGTTCCTCTGAGGACCGTTCCTTGCTAACAAGCACATCAATTGTGGGATGCTGGAGGTGGGCGGGAGGTTCTGTGCTGCCCTCCTGCACCCCACAGCCTGTGAGAGCCACCCAAGGGCTCCGGATGCCCTGACCATCTGAGCTCGCTGGCCAGGCTGTTCTTCTGCAGGCAGTGTTTTGGCCACCGCTACGGCCTCACTATGAGAACAGTGCCGGCACACAGTAAGAACTCAATAAAGATTTGTTAATAAATGAGTCCCCCCGTCCAGCCTCCGGGCCACCTGGCAACTCGTCACATCGCAGGGAAAGCCCAGGCCCCGTCCTCTGTAAGGCTCCCCTGATCACAAACGTCCTCCGGGCAGAGGGTCTCACCCCTTGCCTGAGCTGCCAGGGGTTGGGGTGCCCACTGGCCCCACATAATCCAGCCGGTCCTGGGGGCCACCACGCCACAGCACCAAAGGCCTGCAGGTGTGTTGGGCACATTTTATTTTGTTGCTGTTGTTGTTGTTGTTGTTGTTGTTAATCCTCACCCAAGGATATTTTTTCCATTGATTTTTCAGAGAGAGTGGAAGAGAGATGAGGTTGGGGGGGGGGGGGGGGGAGGAGGAGAGAGAGAGAAACATCAATGTCAGAGACACATTGATTGGCTGCCTCCTGCACGTGCCCCAATCGGGGCCAGGGATGAAACCTTGTGCATGCCCTTGACAGGAATCGAACCCTTGACCTTTGGTGCGAGGCCCAACACTCTAACCACTTAGCAACACCGGCCAGGGCCTATTTTCTAAGTTAAAAAATAAAAGTGACAGAGAGAAGCCATGTGTCACGGACGGTGGATTGGAAGTCAGAGTATCTGGGGGAAGGCCAGGCTGCGGAGTCCCGGTCAGACGCCTCCTTACGCTGCATGACAGCCAGTCTCTCCCCTCCCCGTCCCCTGAGCCAGGAGCTCCTCCGTGGTGGGAGCGTGTCCCTTTCCCCTTTGCATCCCCAGCGCCTGGTCCATGAGGCTCACGGAGGTGCTCGGGGGAAGCGTGAGTGAGTGAGTGAGCCATGAACAGCGTAGGGAACTAGCGGGGTGATTTCTGAGGCTCCTGTAAGGACTGGTGCGGCTCCTGTTGACCTTGCAGGTAAAGAACACTCCTGGGGAGAGAACAGTGATGGAAACCGGAAAGGACACTGCACTGCCCCCTCCCTCTGGGTCACATGTCATAAGCACGAGTCCACATCAGCGATCTTAACAACGTGCCCACCGCCCCATCCCAAGGGGCAGCGGTTATTACCCCCCCACCCCACCCCACCCACCCCACCCCGTCCGGATGAAGAGACGGAGACCCAGAGACGGAGCCGTTTGCCGGAAGCCACTCCAACTGCAGTGACGGGAGCTGGAGCGGGGCCTAGGCCAGCACCCAGCACTGCTCTGCCGCTGGCCCGCGGTCACCATGGCCATGGCAGGAAGGAGAACTATTCCCTGGGCCCTCTGTTACACCGTCCGCAGAGACCTCTGAGGGGGCGGGGGAGATTCAGAGGGCACAGGACCACAGACCCTGCCACGTCCGCCTGCGGTGCTGTTCTCCGCCCCCGGGGCAGCCTGAGGACCAGCCTGGCCTCCTGCCACCCCTGCCCTGTTCCCTCTCTTCCTGGTACCACCGCTCCTTTGTCCGCAGCAGCTTCTGAGCCATCCCTCCACCAGTTCCTCCCCTGAACCACCTCATTTGTCTCAACATTTGGGATATGAATGTCATTCCGCACTAATGAGTTGGGCCCACCTGGTCCCAACTGGCGCCTTGGATGTCTGCTGATTAATTGGCACAAAGCTCTTGGGGGGGGGGGGGGGGAGAAGACTGGTTCCTGCGAAGACACAGGACGCCCCTGCTCACCAGTGATTTCTGCCCTGTCTTTAAGCCTCCGCTGGTCACAGGGCAGATGCTAGAAGGCCAGTCCTTCTTCGGCTGCTCCTGTCCCAGGTCAGGGGAATCAGACAGGTGGACAGGGTGCACAGGGTGGGCTGGGGGAGAGCACAGGGTGGGAACTGAATGACCTGGCTTTGTCTCCCCCCAGCCCTGCCCGGGGGTGCCTGGGTCAAGTTGTTGGCCTCCCTGAGCCTCATTTTCCTGGTCTATAAAAAGGAACAAAAATCCCGCGAGAGCACAGAGAGCATAAAGCTCTCAGATCTGACAGCGTGGATTCCAGTTCTGACCTCTCTGGGCTGTGTGGCCTTGGGTAAGCCCCTGAACCTCATCGCAAAATAAGACCATGAGCAGCCCCTGTGGGGTGGCTGTTGGAATTGGATGAGCAGCTGACGTACAGTCCAGCCTGACCCCAGCAGGGTCCGCTCAGTGACCGGTAAGTCCGGTCACCAATCCAGCTATCGTCCCTACCACGTCAGCTGGTTAAGCAAAGCCCGTGGCTCCGCCCAGTGGAATACAACCCAGCTACCAAACAGGACGCCCGGGGACGGGACGGCCAGGAGATGCCTGCTGGGACACCTCTGCGGTGCACCTGGCCCAGGAATCGGATCTCCACGTGACAGAAGGAGGAGCCAGCCCTCAGAGAAGGGGCTCCGTGCGTCCCACGTCACAGAGGAGGCCAACAGCCGAGCGGAGACAGGAACACAAGCGAGACCTGCCTCAGGACGCAGACTCTGTCCCCTCTGACACCATTCCTGCGCATCACATTTTAAAACCCAATTTATGGAAGTCACGAGCCTCCGGCCATTTCACTCCCCTCTCTGTCCATGTGATCATGATGGGGTTTTTTTTTTTTGCCCAACATAATCATTTTTCTAAGGCAGAAATAATCCCTGTCCCGTGCTCCCCCCCTGGCGGAGGCACAGATCACAGAAGCTAATGGCTTTAGAAACAGGAACGGGCTGGGCCCACGGGAGCAGCCGTCAGCAGCGCTGCAGGACCTGAGAGGCGGCTGAATATTACTCACCCATTCATTCACTCAGCAAGCATTCACAGAGCCTAGACGTGCATGTTCTAGGCTTAGGGGACAGAGCAGGGAACAAAAGAGACGACTTCCCTGCCTCTTGTAGTTGACAACTCTGTGGAGGAGACAGACGATAAACAGATACAAACAGTACGGAGGGGGAGGCACTGGGGGATGGGGCTCTTTGTCCACAGTGTCACGGAAGGTCTCTCTCTAGCAGGTGTCATGGGAGGCTGAGATTTAAATGAAGTCAGGAGGCACATCCTAATACCCAGAGGAAAGCATTCTGGCCTGAGGACACAGCAAGTGCAAAGGCCCTGGGGCCGAAGCATATTGTTGGTGTTGAAGAAAGGGAGGGAGAGTGATAGGAGAGGGGACACAATGGAAATACAGACAACATAGGGCCTTGAGGCCACTGTTGAGAACTTCCGAATTTATACCGTTCAACTCAAAGGACCACGTTTATCATTTTCTCAGGTGAGGCATTATTTGCATTTCCTTTACCTTCCAACCAGTTTCCATTTCTGACCAGATACAACCAAACTCGCTGGCACCCATTCAAGGCCTTTCAGAGTCCGACCACGCACATGGCTCTCCAGCCATTCCCCGCGCCCCCCCCCCCCTCGGCCCTTCACCCCACCTCCGTGCCTCTGCCAGGCAGTTCCCTCTGCGTGGCCTCGCTGAGGACAGCACCTGACAAACATATAATATGGCGATCACTACTAGATGCCAGGCCCCATGGGAGGTGCTGGGGACGCAGCGGGAACAAAGCTTTTAGCAGAGAAGACAGACGTTAACCAGGAACGTGTGAGAAAATGGGTACAGGACTCCCGTGAGTCGTGGAGTTTGGCAACAGCTAACAGGGTCCCTGCCCACTGTGGGTGGAGGGTGGGCAGGGAGACCCAAGAGTGAGCAGGAGTGAGCACTCTGCAGGAGGAGGGAAGCAGGACTCCTCCCTTCCCGCCGCCCTCTGTAAGCAGAGGAAGGTTACAAGACGGGACAGGACGAGGCTGGTCTCCGAGGACCCTGAGGACAAGAGTCAGGACTTTATAAGGAGGCCTGTGCAGGGTTTTGCTGCCTGGGAGGCACCCCCATCTCCCCAGCGGGCACATCTTCTGCTGCCCCAGTTTCCTGCCCAGCACCTGAGCTGGGCCAGGAGCGGAGCTCAGCAAACAGGCAGCGTCGCCCGGCTCAGCTCTGGGTAAACAGGACTCTGCCCGGCACCTGCAGCCGGCTCAGCCTGCAGCTGCGAGGGGTAAATATTTGCCTACAGACCGTCCTGCCTAATGAGTGTTCGAGTGTCTGCCGGGCAGGCCTGGTCCAAGGGGAGCTGGAAGGTAGGGGGCCTGTCCTTGGGGATGCCAGTGCCTCATTTCTGGGGGTCCTTGGGTGTAGGACGACTTGGGAGAACTAGGGCAGGGCACCCCTGAAGGTCTTCACAGCTTCAGTGGGGGCCTCAGGAGGCCCGAGGCCCAGAGCCAAGGTCACAGAGTGACCCTCGAAGGGCAGCCCCCTTCCACCTGGCTGGCCAGAGTAACAGCCAATGCCCTCCAGCCTTCTCACTCATTTCTCCTCCCTGTCCTCCCAAACGCAATGCCTCCTGGCTGGGAGAACATCCGTTCCCTTCCGGGAGCTGGAGAAGGGAGCTGAGAGAGGACACACCTCCCCTCGCAGCATTATTAGGTATTCAACGGTGTGAACAACACCATAAGGGAGTGTGTGTTCATGGTTTCAAAACTCAAATTGTAAATAATAATAAGCTGAAAGTCAAAATCCCCGGACCCTCTACTCCTGCTTTTCACCTTAACACTGGTTAGATTTCATTGTTTCAACACCCAGAGCATCGTGCACACACCCTGTTCTCCTGTCGGTATGGTGCACCCTGGGTACCTTCCCGCACCCATGCAGCCGGGCACCGCCTCCCTCTGCCCGCTGAAATGTACTCCACCGTGTGGGGTGCAGGGACTCATTAGACAGACCCTCTCGGATGGACACTTGTCTCCAGCTTTTGCTATTGAAAAAAATAAATACTGTATTGAAGGGTCTTTTGCTCATCTTTGCTTATTTGTTGGGATTTCATCAGTAGAATGAATTTCCAGCAGGAGGCCAATGGCTGGTGTGTTTTCACACTGAACAGTCATTGCCACATCGCCCTGCAGATGCTGTGTGGTCCTACCTCCTGCCACCAGCTCACTGAGGTGCCTGCTCCCCCGCCCCCAGGCAGAAGCAGCCTTTAGCTCTCTGACAAACTCGTGGTGAAAATAATATCCCATTGTTACCTGTACTTCTTAATGTTTAGTGAGATTAGACATCTTTCAGGGATGTGTTTCCCATCTGTATCTCTTTTTTCTGTGAACTGCTTCTTTATACACATCTTTAGAGGGATGTTCTTCCTTTGTTTCGTTCCAGCAGTATTTTAGCACCTGCTCTGGGGTGGGTGTTGTGTTCCCCTCTCAAAGCAGGACAAAGTATGTCCATACCCCAGGCGGGTGGGCCCCGGGGGCATCAAACAGTCCCTCTGGGGGGCATTCCCAAGACAAGGGAGTCACCAAGCCTCGAATCTTGTGAGACGGGAAGCACCTGGTTACAGATGGGCTGGCCCCCATCTCCTATTTCACTGCAAAACAGAAAAATACAGTCATTCCTGTCCATTGTGTGTTTTTAAAATTTCACAAAACTGTTTAAGTCAGAGTCGTTTCGGGTGAAAGTGACAGAAAAATCCATCAAAACTGGCATTTAAAAAAAAAAGGAGATGCTATTGGCTCGTGTGACGAAAAGCTCAGGCTTCAGCACGGCTGGATCCAGGTGTGCGGACATCCCCGGGCACCATCTGTCTCCTCCCTTCAGCTCCGCTCCTTCGGTCTCAGATGACCCTCTGCAGCTCCGACTTACATTCCATTGCTTCACACCCCATGAAGAGGGACTGTTTTCCAGGAGCGCCAGGAAAAACCCTGGGGGTAGTTTAGGTTGGTCAGTCCAGGTCTTATTTCCATCATCAAGCCAATCACTGAGGTCTGAATGACGGATTACATAGATCAGTGGTCGGCAAACCGCAGCTCAAGAGTCACAGGCGGCTCTTGGCCCCTTGAGTGTGGCTCTTCCACAAAACACCACGGCCTGGGCGAGTCTATGTTGAAGAAGTGGCGTTAGAAGAAGTTTAAGTTTTAAAAATGTGGCTCTCCAAAGAGATGTCAATTGTTGTCCTGTTGATATTCGGCTCTGTGGACTAATGAGTTTGCCGACCACTGACATAGATTAATCAGGCCGGAGGTAAAATAGGAGGATGAGTATGTCCTGGGAATGAGAATGGGAAAATTCAAGTACCAGTACTGAAAAAATGGGCAGACTCAAATGGCAGCTGCCTCTGCACTGGATTCTAGCTCTGCCTTGTCTGTGTGACCCTGGACAAGTCACTGCTCCCCTCTGGCCCATGAGTTCCTGTAAGATTCAGACATTCAGTTCAGTTCCTGATGTTGGTACCTTTTGTAGCAGCCGAATTTCTTATTTTTCCATAAATACACATGGAACCCGGCACAGAAGAGATAAGAGCTTGTTTTATTCAAACAATGTCAGCCCCTCCCCTATCGGAGCCCCTGTGAGGGCAGGCTGGGGCCCAGGCCAGCGTCTGTGGCCCTCAGACCCTTATTTCTACCAGCCTTGGCCACCCCCCCAGGAAGGCGGGATTATTGATCACTGAACAGAACGCATCAAATGAGATCATAAAAGCCCTCCGGGAACGCCGAGGCCCTGGAATTATTTCCCAAAACATCCCGAACGAGTGCCACAAATTGCTTTCCTGTTGCAATTTCAGCTACAAAAAGCCTCAGCAGACCCCAGCCTAACAAGTTCAAGGAGAACGCGGGTCAAATCACATTGCACCCAAATCCTATTAGAGCGCCATTTCACCGCGGAGAGGACGCCTCTCGCCATTGGATTACGACCTCCCCGGGGAGCCCGGCCTGCCCGGCCTCTGTCCCCCGCCGACCCAGCACAGAGCCCAGCGCGGTGCAGGAACCACGTTACCAGAACGCCTTTCACCCACCGTCAGGAATTTTTGTTTGGTTGACATGATTTCTGTTTTCATTAGATGCCAACATTAACCATTGAGAAAGCTCACTTACAAATGGAGTTGTATGAAAAACAACAAGATTTACACCCTGAGGCCCAGTGCCCACATGTGGAGGCAGTCTGCTGGGAACGCACTGCAGCTGCCCCTGTCCCTTCTATGTGTCCTCCACCCTGCAGGCCCCGAGTTCCTATTCTTACACTGAACTTAGGCCCGTGTCCAGCAGGAATCAGCAGGTAGTTAACCCAGACCCCATAGTTTCCATTCTTAGAGCATGTAGAAAGCCCATCCGCAGGGACCATCTTGGTCAGTCCATAGAAACCTCTGTGAGTTAGAAATTATCTTCCCCGTGTCACCATATCACAGATGATAAAAGAGGGGCTCTCAGAGGAAAATTAATTCATCTAAGACCACAAACCCAGTAAAGTCACAGAATTGAGACTCCACCATGAGTTCCTGTTAACTGGAGGTAGAATAAAACTTCTGCCAGTGGCGTCCACTTATTTAAAGCGAGATTCACCATGGCGACTTTCTGGCATAAAGACGCTGAGCCAAACACACCTGGCTTCGAATCTGGACTCCGCCATGTGCAACTATATGGCTTCGTCTCATCTATTTCTGCCGCTCTAACATGGAGCATGAAATACCTTCCTCCCAGGATTATTTCCAAGCCCTCATAGATCTTAGTCGATGAATCTAGAAAATGCCACCTGACCCAAGAATAACACGAGTCAGACGAAAGTGGTTCTGGTTGGCTTTGGTTTGAACAGAGTCTCTGAGAAGCTACAGAATCAAAAGCAGCTTTGTTAAAACCATTTGAGCCATGTAGTCATACTTAAAAATGAGGCCTAAAGAAGGTAGTCAGAATATCCTATCTATTTGGAATAAAATGATAGGGAAGGGTCATTTTCTGTGACTTAAAATACCTACAGCAAAAACTTGTTGACTTCCCCCAAACCTTGCCTTCTTCCTGCTGGTCACACAACAAGGTCACACAACATTTCCCCTGGCAGTTCTGGGTGGCCCAGTGGCTGAATTCTGGCCAACGGAATATGAACAGAAGTGATGCCTGTCACTTCCAGGACTGCCCATCAAATCCTTCCCGGCATTCTCCTCCACATCTTCCCTACCTGGGCCTTGAAGCAGATAAGCATGTGGGAGGTCAAGCTTTGAAGGTTGGTGGAGCCACAGAATGGCAGGATCCCGAATCCCTTTATCAGCAGTTGAAGGAGAAATACCAACTATTCAGAAACATCAGTTTTTTTTGGGGGGAAATAAACTTTGACTTTATTTGACCCATATATATTTGGGGGATATTTGTTACAGCAGCGAGTATGGACCTGAACAAACAACACCAATATTCCTGTTGTGAAAGGAAGAAGCTAAGAGGTCAGTAACTGCCCCTCTGTATTAGTTCATCAGGCCAACATGACAAAGTGCTGCTACAGACCGTGACATAAACACAGAAATGTAAGTACTCACCGTTCTGGAGGCTAGAAGTCCAAGATCAGGTAGCAACAGTGTGGTTTCTCCTCAGCCTCTCTCCTTGGCTTGTCGACGGCCACTCTGCTGTGTCCTCAGAGAGTTTTTCCCTCAATGTGCACATGTGCCTGATATCTATCACAGTCTGTTCTCATTTCCTCTTCTTCAAAGGACATATGGGTTGGGACCAACTCTTATGACCTCATTTTACCTCATTTGGAGCTGAATCTCCAAATACAGTCTCATTCTAAGGTACAGTGGTCCCTTCTGTAGTTCCCCTGTGGGGGATAAACCAAGGGGAGAACCAAACCGTATATATACTATGTTTTCCCCATAAATGTATGCACACATACATACATATGATAAAGTTTAATGGCTTTCCATCTTCACTAAGCTCTTTGGTTTGAGGTGTGACAGCAACACTAGCATAAACTTCTTTTTCCTTCTTCACCATTTCATGGGTAGAAGATTCGTTCTTACCATAGATCTTAGCACTCAGCATATGATTTTTTTCTCTTACCTTCTTAAGTCAAGAACTTTCCCCTTTTCATTTAAAGAAAACGCTTTACATATCCAAACTGGCAGCATCACTACTTTTGCATTTTGGAGTCATTCTTAAGTTAAAAAAAGGGTTGAAACAAACACTGCAATATCACAACTGATATGATGACTGAGTCAGTTACTAAGTGACTAATAGGCAGGTGGTATATTCAGCATGCACACGCTGAACAAAGGGATGATTCATGGATGAGCAAGACGGCGTGAGCTTTCATTATGCTACTCAGAACAGTGCACAATGTAAAACCCATTTATTTCAAGAATTTTCCATTTACCATTTTCATACCATGGTTGACCACAAGTAACTGAAACCATGAAGAGTGAAACCACAGAAAGGGGGGTGGGAATACTGTACTGGCGGGGGTAGAGCTTCCACATGTGGAATTTGGGAGATGGCCTGATTTCAGGAATTGTAAGAAGCTACATTAATCAAGACAATGTGGCATTATCATCAAAGTAACCGCATAGATAAATAGAACCCAACAGAGTCGAGAAATTGGCCCACACATATATGGGTTTTTGACAAAATTGCAAACGACAAGCAATGAAGAAAATACAGCCTTCTCAACAAATGGTCCTGGAACAACTGGGTATCACAGACAAAAATGCAAACTGGCAGCCACACTTGTCACCATCTATAAAAATCAATTAAAAATGGATCACAAAGCTGAACATAAACCTAAAGCTACAAAACACCTAGAAGAAAACTTAGGAAAAGACCTTGTGGCCTTGAGTTAGGCAAAGACTTTCCTAGATCTGACAGCAAAAGCACCATCCATAAGAGGGCAAACCAATAAACTGAACTTCATCAAAAGTAAACACTTTTGCTCTTTGAAACACACTTATAAGAAAATAAAACAATGACCAACATACATTGAGGAAACATTTGTGAAGCATATAGTATCTGATAAAGGACTTACATCCAGAATAAACAATAAGAAAACAACCCAATTTTTAAAAACCAGCAAAACATTTTAACAGACTCTTAACCAAAGAAGACATACAGATGGCAAATAAGCACATAAATAGATGTTCTACATTATTAGTCATTCGTTATCAGAGAAACGCGCATTGAAACCGCAATGAAATTACGCATCCAGCGGAATGAAGAGAATTAAAAAGACTGACCTTGCAAGTGCTGGTGGAGGAACTCCCACGCTGATAAAGTTAACACACACTTACCTTGCTCTATCCCAATTACCACCATCACTACTCTCATCCAGCCATTCCACCATGGGCGTTTACCTAAGAGAAAAGAAAAAAAGAAAAAAAATATATATATATATATATAACTTTTTAAAAAGAAAATATATACATTATACAAAGTCTGATACACAATGTTTATAGCAGCTTTGTCAATAGCTCAAAACTGGAAACAATGAAAATGACCATCAACAAATTATGATATGCCCGTTTAATGGAACACTACTGAGCAATAAGAAATTAGCTATTTATATAAGCAACAACATGCATGAATCACAAAATAATTATGCTTAGTGAAAGAAGCCAAGCAAACGATACATGCTATATGAGTCTATCTAATACTCTAGGGCAGTGGTCAGCAAACTCATTAGTCAACAGAGCCAAATATCAACAGGACAATGATTGAAAATAGACTTGCCCAGGCCGTGGTATTTTGTGGAAGAGCCACACTCAAGGAGCCAAAGAACTGCATGTGGCTCTCGAGCCGCAGTTTGCCGACCACGGCTCTAGAGTATGTAGGCTAATTTATAGTGACACAAATTCAAATGGCGTTTGCTTGAGGGAGGGTGACATCCATGAGGGAGTGACTACAAAAAGTCAAGAGCACACCTATGGGGACAATGGGTATGTTCACTACCTTGATTGTCGTAATGGTTTCATAGGTGCATAAATATGTCAAAGCTTATAAAAGCGTATACTTTAAATTGTGCAATTTACTGTATATATCAATCACATCTCGTGCTGATTAACAAATGAAAGCACAGAGCAATGTGCCAAATGACACCACAAGAATGAAATACACACAATCCAGACTGTCAAAAACTCTACATGCAAATAGTCTAGTTCATTCAACTAATAACTCGCAAGAAAAAAAGACCAGAGAGACCTATCAAGTAATGGCAGTTATCCTGGTTTGGGTCTGATGCAGACATTCAATTAGAAATGTGAACACTGCCGAAACCGGTTTGGCTCAATGGATAGAGCGTCGGCTTGGGGACTGAAAGGTCCCGGGTTCGATTCCGGTCAAGGGCATGTACCTTGGTTGCGGGCATATCCCCAGTAGGGGGTGTGCAAGAGGCAGCTGATCGATGACTCTCTCTCATCAATGTTTCTAACTCTCTATCTCTCTCCCTTCCTCTCCGTACAAAATCAATAAAATATATTTAAAAAAAAAAAAAGAAATGTGAACACTGACTTAAGGGATGATATTAAGAAAGTATATTTAATTTCTAGGTTACAAGTTTTAGAGTCTCACTTAGAGATTCATGGCAAAATATTTGTGGATAAATTATATGATGTCTGAGATTGGCTTCAAAATAATATGGGAAGGGATATCATTGAAACAATAGCAGCCATGAGCTGGCAACATTCTAAACTGAATAATGGAAGCACAGGGTTCCTTATATCGGTGTTTCTCAATCTAGTTTTTCATTATCAGCCCCCTAAGAGCCTTTTCAGACATTACTTTGAAATCACTCCTGGACCCCTGAAATTTCAAAGCTGTGTGTCTGCTTACGTACTGTAATCCTTTGGAGGATCACAACCATTCTAACAGCTAAGATGTATTCATCACTCAAAAAAAAAAAAAAAATTTGCCAGCTTTTGACTTCCTTCTCCAACCTGGTTGAGAATGCATGCATTATACTATTGTATTATGTCTACTTTTTTATGTCTTTTTACGTTTCTATTAAAATGTGTTTAAATAACTCAATTTCAAAAGGAATCAAGATAAGCCCAGCCAGCATGGCTCAGTGGTTGAGCATCGCCCTATGAGCCTGGTCAGGGCACATGCCCATTGTGAGATGTGCAGGAGGCAGCCAATCAATGATTCTCTCTCATCATTGATATTTCTATCTCACTTTCCCTCTCCCTTCCTTCCTGAAGTCAATAAAAATACTTCTAAATATATATTTTTTAAAAGAATCAAAATGAGGAGTATAATTGTTTCTATATCAAGACGTTGGGCAGGGAAGAATCCACAGAACGAGCTTCTGAGCTGCCTGGAACCGGGATTCAGGTAGCACCGAGGTAATTTATCAGTTGAGAAGCTTGTGTTGACACCTGAAACCACGGAGACATATGGCTCCCTCCTCTGAAGGGCCACAGGGCAAGGCGGGCGTCACAGGAGAACTCATCCACTACCAGACCCAGGTCCTGCTCGTCTCTCCTCTGTAAGTGGTGACCTCATCCCAAGACTGGCTAAGCCCGAAACGATGCCCATGTGGTAGCTACATGCTTCTTAGCTCACTCGACAGGAAAGAGAGACTGTGCCCCAGCATTCAGTAAAAGTCCTTAATTCATCCTGGCTGGCCCAGCTTTGGTGCTGCCCATCGCTGGCAGTGGGGAATAGAATGTGCTGAGTGGCCCACCCAGGCCAAGTGATTCCTGTGGAGGGGCGGATCGAGGGCAGATGGGGGAGAGGGCGGGTGTCACTGTTCCCAGAACGCCACAGCTCTCCTAACAGAAGTCAGGGCTCTGAAGGGGGAAGGGAAATGTCCTCTTCTCCTTTGCTTCTACCTGCCTGTGTGTTTAATTCTTTCAGGTCAATGTCTCCACAAGGTGAGGCTTGTCAGATGATCAGTGCTGTGTAAGGGACAAACAGGGCTGTCAGCTCATTATTTAAATACCAGGAAAGGATGTGACAGGCCTGGTTTGGGTCACATGCTCAGGCCTGGCCCAGGGAGTGTGGGCAGGGCGGTGGCATACATGCCTGGCACAGCTAGGGTCAAACCCCCACCCCCCACCAAGGAGGTTGCTGGGTGTGCAGGGCCTGTTAGGTAGACAGGATCATAGGAGTCCTCTCAATGGTGTTTGCAAGGCAGGGTTGTTGGGAGGTATGAGCCTTCAATATCTTTTTTTCTTTCCCAACTCCCTACCCCCACCATGCCCTCCAGATCCAAATTTGCCAAACTGAAGACCATATCTTGAAAATAAAACACCCTTTAGGTGATTTTTATCTAAGCAAGCTCTGGCTCCCCATACATCTCTCTCTCATCCTATATAATAAATGGCTAATATGTAAATTCGACTGTGAGTTCAACCAGGAGTTCAACCAGAGGGCAGGGCCAGCCAGCCAACTACCCGAAGCTCCTCTCCCCTCACCGGCCCTGCCCACAATCAGTCATCCACCCTGATGGGGTGAACCAGCCAGACGCCACCCATGCATGAATTCGTGCACTGGGCCTCTGGCTTAAAATAAATATCAAAGCACAAGATGCTTGAGCAAGTCACCACATCCATGAGGCTCAGATCCCTCACCTATCTTCAGCGTTAGTAATAGTCCCTGCTTCAGAAAGTATGGTGATATGAAAGTAATGGCATACAGTAGACACTTAACAAATGGTAACTATTGGACTCAGTTCCATTCCATGCTTAAAACGTCTAAAAAGAATCTTACTTCAAAGAAATTCTCCAAGACCATTTCAAAGGGGCCCATGGAAAGACCCTATCACCTTCGTCACAGACAGCACCTGTCCCCAAGGTGTCGCCCACCAGTGCCCACACCTGTAACTCCACACGCCCAGGCTGAGCCCCCTCCATCTGGTTCCTCAGAGCTCGGGTCTGCGAATTAGCCTGCTACCACCTCCCTCACCTTACCGTCATCTGTACTGCCCACCCTGGCAAGCTGCACCCTAACACAGCTTCATTGTTGTGTTCCCCCACCTTTCTCACTCAGGGGAGGAAGAGGCGCAGGGACAATCACACAAGGTGGGAGCGTGGAGGAGAGGATGACAGTCAGTTCTACAGCCCCGCCTGAGAACAGCTCCCAGCACTCCGGTACTTCCGTCTCTCCAGTCTGACCCAACTGCCTGAGCTCATCCTTCTAAAATGCCCACTGACCTAAATTGCTTCCTGCTGCAAAGTCTACAATGGTTTCATATATATATATATTTGTGTCAGAGAGGAAGAAAGAGATAGAAACATCAATGATGAAAGAGAATCATTGATTGGCTGCCTCCTGCACACCCTTCCCCCACTGGGAACTGAGCCCACAACCCAGAATCGAACCTGTGACACTTCAGTCCACAAGCAGATACTCTATCCACTGAGCCAAGCCGGCTAGGGCTCTGCAGTGGTTTCCATTCTGGCTCTGAGGATGGTAGTCAAGTTCCTTTTAAAAGAGCCTTCGACACCCTCTCCTGAGTATTATCCAGCCTTGAAGGAGTCATTAAACAGAGTATTTCTTCCTCCCAAATCTATCAGGCATTCACATGCCTTCGCCATGGTTGTTCCCTCGGCCTAGAAGCTTCTTTCCCAGCCTCCCCATGTAAACCCCTACCCAAGGTGCAGTCTGTTCTCACCCTCAGAATGAAGCTCCTCAGGATTAACAGGCAGAAGTGCACGTCCCCTTTGGTGTCCCACCTCACCCCTTCATTTGTAACTGAGGGGCCGGTCTCTGCCTTCCCCTCCCTCCCCCCGGTACTTACCTCAACCCCTGGCACTAGCCCAGGACTTGGGGCCTTATAGATGCATTGATGACTAGACGAACGGATAAAAACATAAAGTAGATGTATTCATGGATGGGTGGAGAGAAGCAGATTGATGGAAAGATGATGGATGGATGGATGGATGGATGGATGGATGGATCATAAACACTATAAAGACAGAGATTTATTTATTTATTTTTTTGCAATTCTGTTTTCTCAGTGCCTAGAATAGACTCTAGAATACAGTAGATGGGCGATATATGTTGCTGAAGGAGTGAATGATTGAAGGACCACATTATTGTATAAAATTTCTGGACCGGGTCAGAAGACCTGAATTCTCTCTCTATCTGTATCCTCGAGATATCTATATGAACCTGAGAAACTTAAGCAAATATCTTCAATTCACTCTTCTGTAAAATGGGTAGATGAAATGAAATGATTTCCAGTCTTTTCCAAACAGTCTTGTGCTCCCCGATTCGAAGCTGCCCAGATCTTGAGATAAGGCTCTAGGCTGGGGGAGGCGCACATCTGAGCAAATGTGTGTTTACTTACAACTTGTCATAATGCAAAGCTGGTCCCAGCTGGGAGGCAGAGTTAACACACTCCAGATGAGTTTCTGTTCGAACTGTCTGGCTGGAAGCCTGGTGCTGGAGATGACAGACAGACTGATGGCAGAGCCCGAGGGGTAATTAGAGCGAAACAGGAACCTCTGTGCGGCTGCACGCACCCCACGCCGACCAAAAGGAGGGAGGGCCGGCCACACAGAGCCTTCCCGGGCCCCTGGCAGCTGGCCAGAGGCACCCTCTCTCCAGAACGGCTGCTCGTCCCCCCGAGCACGTGGTCCGTCCTGTCGGAGCCACACCTGGGCCTGGCGAGCCCTGGAATAATGACTGTACCGAGAATGCCTCTCCCATTCATCATAGGCCGACAGGTGCCAGGCGCTGTCTATAGATCACTTCATCACAGCTCCCTGCAGCCCGGGAGGCAGGAGCAGAAAGCAGCCGGTAAGTGGTGGGTTGAGGGTTTGAACCCAGGGGACACTGGCGGCCTGTCTGGGGACAGCTGCCCTGAACTGGTCAGGTAATAATCCAGACTCCTGACTTCATGCCCCGCCCCCCTCCAAACTGCAGTGCCTCCTGCTGGGACTTGTCCGGCCCCTTTGCGATATGCTCTCACGCCGATCCAAGCCTACGGTGCTGACCAT